AAAAATTTAAATCCAACATTATTTAAAGAATACAAAAAACCCCAGCAACCAACAGTATACAACTCACAATATCCAACATCCAATAAAAAAAGAAAAAATGCTACTAGGAATGCAAAAAGCTGTAAAATACAACCCATAACCAACATAAAAAATGTAACCAAGAGAAAGAGAAACAGAAATGACAGAGATGAAGGGACCAGAAGAAAACGGTGCTGACACACCTGTGATAGACAAGTTCTGGATGATCAAGATGGTAGAAGAAAATATTACCATGATGAAAGAAATGGATATAAAGTGACACAAATGGAATTTCTAGACATGAAAAATACAGTATCTGAAATGAAAAATATACTGGCCAGGATTAACAGCAGATTAGCCACTGCAGAAGAAAATATTAGTATTAGAAGATATAGTAAAAAAAAAAAATCCAAAGGGAAACAAAAAGGGAAAGCAACAATAAACAATTGAACACAGCATCGGTGGCTTGTGGGACAATATCAAGCATCTAACGTAGGTATCACTAATGGCAGAAGACAGAGGGAGAACAGAAAAAATAGTTGAAGAAATAACAGCTGAGAAATTTCCCAATTTAATACAAACTATAAATCCACAGATCCAAAAAAAACCTCAACAAGTCCTAACCAGAATAAACACAACAAAAATTATGCCAAGGCACGTCACAGTCAACTTGCTGAAAAGAGAATAAAAGTAGTCAGAAAACAAAACAAAACACTATGTTCAAAGGAATAATGAATGACACCAGACTTACCACCAGAAACTCACGAGACAGAAGACAATGGCGAGACATCATTAAAGTAGTAAAAGAATAAATGGTCAAACTAGAATCTTTTATCCAGAGAAGTACATTCTAAACTGAAGGCAAGATAAAAGCTTGGAGATTCATCACCAGAAAATCTGTACTATGAAAAATGCTGAAGGAAATTTTTTAGGCAAAAGATAAATGATACCAGACAGAAATCTGGATCTACACAAAAGGAAGAAAGAGCACAAAAGTGGTATATATTCGGATAAATATAAAAGGTTATTTTTGCCCTTTTAAGCCAAAAATGATAACAGTATATGCTATGATCTGAATGTCATTATCCCTCCTCCCAAACCTGTATGTTGAAATCCTAAACCCCAAGGTGATGGTGATCAGGGGTGGGGCCCTCATGACCGTGGAGTAGTGCCCTTAAAAAAGAGGCTGCAGAGAGGCCCCTCCTCCCTTCTCTCATGTGAGCTTACGGCAAAAAAGACAGCTACCTGGGAGGTAAGTCCTGGTTAGACACTTAAACTGCTGGCACTGTGATCTTAGACTTCCCAGTCTCCAGAACTGTGAGAAATAAATTTCTGTTGTTTATAAGCTACTTAGTCTCTGGTATTTTGTTACAGCAGCCTGAACAGACTAAATGTATTATGAGATGTACAGTGTGTGAATAAGTAAAATGCATGACAACAGCAGCAGAAAGTATGGAAGGGCAAAATGAAAGTGCACTATTGTAAAAGGTTCTTGCATTATGCATAAAGTGGTGCAATGCTGGAAGACGGATTGTGAAAATTTGAAGATGTAAACTGTAAGGCCTAGAGCAATCACACACACAACATAGAACAGACACACAGCCAATGACAGTGGAATGGAGTGATTAAAATAAATCTGAAAAAAGAAAACCCCAATCCAAAACAAGTATGAAAAGAGGAAAAAAGGAACAAAAACAGGTAGGACAAAAAGGGAAATAAACAGCAATATGGGAGATGTAAACTCAACCACACCAACAAATACATTAAATGTGAATGGTTTAAATACCTCAATTAAGACACATACTGCCAGACCCAACTACGCATATGCGACCTATAAGAAACCCACTACATAAAGACACAAATAGGTTTAAAGTAAAAGGATTAAAAAAGACATATCACACAGACTTTTATTTAAAAAAAAAGCAGAAATGGCTACATTTGAATC